CCAAAAAAATACGTATTCACTGTAATTAACAATTGCCAACAAAGCAAAGGGGAGCAAAGATATTTCATCTATATGGCAAATTAGTTGTTTTTTTTTTGAACAGTAAACAAGATACCAAAAAAAAAAAAGTTTTTGAGAAATAAAAATTATAGTCTAGCATTTCTGAGGCATAATGGGCCTTTAAAGTTATACCTTTTTCAGATTTGTCTGACACTGTGCCTTTCTCATGAATGTTGTCTATAGGTCCATGCTGGGGAACTATACTAGCCCGTCTGAAACATACACACACACACATACATAGTAAATGCATTATAATGACATTCACAGGCATTAAGGTTAACAAAGTTGAGTAGCATAGTAACAAACAACAAATTTAGAAAACCAGTTCATAATGTTTTAAAGATGAATTACAAAAAAAAGAAAGTCAAGTCCCGATGTGTCAAAGTTTTTTACACAAGTCCCTTTAACTTCGACTTACCAAAGTTCTACTTTGTAAATAAAGTTTGTCTTACTGTCTTACAGAGAAGAAAATTGTGAAACACACTTACTTACATTCACACATGCACACAGACAGAAAGAAAGACATATACAAACAAACCTTTTCTCTCTCTCAGTCACAACCGCATCCTCCACTTTCCTTTAAACAGAACAGAAATTTCATTTCAAGATGAACATTTCATTACCAGAATCACACTCTTTCCTGTATCTTATAATTTTGTTACTCTCTTTTTTTTAGTTTGCCACTGAATACTGAGCACTTACTTTGATATAAATTTTTTTTTTCGGAAAATGTTTACTAAAGTCCCTTTCACATAATCATTTTTTAGTTTGTTTGGTTGGTTATACGCCAATTTTAACATGTGTTTTTTGGTTCATACATCTGCCATCTATTTACGAAAGGGGGCTTGCTGAGGGTAAGGGTAACCAGTAAGTTACCAAAATCTACGGAAGCTGGGGACGCCGCGGGGCGAATCTCACAGGATTTCTGAATCAGGGGGAGAGGGGAGGGAATAAAATGAGGGCATTTAATCCTGGGGAGGGTCTATACTCATTCAGGGGATAAACATCTACCCAGCATACGCAAAGACGTTAGTTTAGGCAGCAAAACAAAACGCAAAGATCATTTTATCAGGGAAAAAAAAAAACAAATTATTATTCTAAAAACATGAATAAAAATCAGGAAAAAATTACAGGGTTGAGGGGAATGGAGAAGGTTTATCCGGTTTGGGAAAAGGAAATCTTGGCCTACGCTAAAGCTCCGAAAGATAAACTTTATTGATAAAGGTGAAACCTTATTCAACCCGAATAACCATGTATTTTCTATTAGACTCAATTTCTGAGATTTTGTTTGTTTGGGTTTTACATCACACAGACACAGTATAGGTCATATGATGACACTCCAGCTTTACTGGTTGAGGAAGATCTCAGGTGCCCTTCTGTGCATTATTTCAGACTCGAACATGCACCTGAGTAGAACCACCGACGTTCCGTAAGCTAGCTGGATAGCTTCCTCACATGAAAGAATCCAAAGTCCCTGTTGGGATTCCAACCCACAGCGGTGAGGGGCAAGTGGTTTGAAGTCAACAACCTTAACCACTAGGCCTTGGACGCCCCTCTATTTCTGAGATCGACTGCCAGAGAGGAACTTCTCCCTGCTAGGGGATCAAACCCAAAACCTCTGGTTCCCAAAAACTATTGTAAGCCAAGAAGGGACCCTGGACAACAAAAAACAAACAAGACAGAGTTTGCTTAACATTATTAAAAAATACATATTAATGGGACTACGCATACTGTTTATATGAAAACGTATTCGAGTTTTCAAAAAACCCCAGAAGGATAAACAATTTACAACGTCCATTTCGTTGTTTTTTTGAATCCCAAAAGATTTAAAAGATTTTTATATTTTGTCTTGACCATTTTTCCCTTTTGGGAAAAAAGCCGGGTTTTACCCGGTAGCTCCCCGATAGTTTTGGGCACAGGAAAGTAACCTCTTTTAGTTCAGTTATGTCCGGGAAAAAAATTCAAAGTCAATAATTCCAATGCATGCACTTCTAATAATGTGATCTATAAATTACAAATTTTTTGATGAAACTCTTAGATTTTCCGAGTTATGTCCTGGACAATTCAAAAAGTAAAAAATAAACAAAGGCAATAACTCCAGAATTAGGCAAGGTAGAGTTATGATTCTTGTCACTGCACATCTACCCATTGAGATTTTATCTACCTACAAAGTTTCATGTTGATATCTCTTATAGTTTAGAGTTATGCCCCGGACAAGATTTTTCTACAAGGGGAGATAATTCAAAAACCGGGCAAAATAGAGTTATGGTTCTTTGACACTGCACTCCCCCCCTCAATGCCCTCTACCACTGTATGAAGTTTCAACAAATTATCTCCAAGGGTTTTCAAGTTATGTTCCGGACAAGTTCAAAAGTATTAAAATTAACAAAGGCAATAACTCCAAAAATTAGACAAAAAGAGTTATTGTTCTTATGCACTGCACATTTACCCCCATTGAGATCTATTCACCTACAAAGTTTCATGTTGATATCTCTTATAGTTTTAGAGTTATGCCCCGGACAAGATTTTTCTATAAGGGGAGATAATTCAAAAACCGGGCAAAATAGAGTTTTGGTTCTTTGACACTGCACTCCCCCTCTACCACTGTATAAAGTTTCAACAAATTATCTCCTAGGGTTTTCAAGTTATGCTCCGGACAAGACAACGGACGGACAGACGGACAAGGCGCCGACTATATGCTCCCCCGAAATTTTTCGGGGAGCATAATAAAAATATACAACTACAATGAATATCATAAATTAAAAATCCACCTGTCACCTCCAGTTAGCCGACCCCCCCATGCCCCGCCCTGCCCAGTTTCTCTCTAGCTCACTGAAAATTAATTTTTTGTCATACCAGATACACTTACCTGTACCAGCGCATAAACTTTGTGATGACCCCCATCTGGAAACCAATGTTGCCCGATCCCGGTTTTTCCTTGTAAGGTTCCGGCTGCACATTCAACAGATCTTCCCAAGTCTCGAGGGCAGGCCGTTCTGTTGTTCCAACATTCTTTGACTTCCTGTTACGAGTGAAATACATGTATATTAATTTATCTCTACAGTTGAATTCTTAATATGAAATGTTATTCATGTTCAAAAGTTAAGAATTTTTCAACCACTGATAAATAAAACAAGAGGGCCATGATGGCCCAGATCGCTCACCTGACTTATCAAACAAATTACCTAGACAAGCATTCTGACCAAGTCTCATGACAGGTGAGTCAAAAATGTGACCACTACAGTGTTAACAAGGATTATCCATATTTGAGCAGTGGGACCTAGTTTTTTACCCAGGTGACACATATTCAAACTTGACCTAGAAATCATCAAAACAAACTTTCAGACCAATTTCCAGGATACTTGGATCAAAACAGTAGCAACTAGAGTGTTAACAAGATTTTTCTATTTTAAGCTCCGGTGACCTAGTTTCACATGCAATTTCGAACTCATCCAAGCAATTACCTAGACAAGCATCCTGACCAAGTTTGATGATAATTGAGTTGAAAATGTGACAACTAGACTGTTAACAAGGTTTTTCCATATTTGGGCGGTGTGACCTAGTTTTTCATCCAAGATGACCCATGTTCGATCTTGACTTAGAAATCATCAAAACAAACTTTCAGACCAATTAACAGAATATTTGGATCAAAACAGTAGCCACTAGAGTGTTAACAAGATTTTTCTTTTTTTTAGCTCCTGTGACCTAGTTTTTCATCCATGATGACCCATGTTCGATTTATTCCCAGCAATGACCAAGACAAGTTTCCTGACCAATTTTGATGACAATTGAGTCAAAATTGTGACCACTAGAGTGTTAACAAGGTTTTTCTATTTTTAGCTCCTGTGACCTTGTTTTTCATCCGAGAAAACCCATGTTCAAACTCATCCGAGCTATCACCTAGACAAACATCCTGACCTAGTTTGATGATGATTGAGGCAAAATTGTGACCGCTAGAGTGTTAACATGGTTTTTCTATTTTTAGCTCCGGTGACCTAGTTTTTCATCCGAGATGACCCATGTTCGAACTCATCTGAGCTTTCACCTAGACAAGCATCTTGACAAAGTTTGATGATGACTGATGCAAAAATGTGACCGCTAGAGTGTTAACAAGGTTTTTCTATTTTTAGCTCCGGTGACCTACTTTTTGATCCGAGATGACCCATGTTCGAACTCATCCAAGCTATCAACTAGATAAGCATCCTGACCAAGTTTGATGATGATTGATGCAAAAATGTGACCGCTAGAGTGTTAACAAGGTTTTTCTATTTTAGCTACGGTGACCTACTTTTTCATCCGAGATGACCCATGTTCGAACTCATCCAAGCTATCACCTAGACAAGCATCTTGACCAAGTTTGATGATGATTGATGCAAAAATGTGACCTCTAGAGTGTTAACAAGGTTTTTCTATTTTTAGCTCCGGTGACCTACTTTTTCAACCGAGATGTACCATGTTGGAACTCATCCGAGCTATCAACTAGATAAGCACCCTGACCAAGTTTGATGATGATTGATGCAAAAATGTGACCGCTAGAGTGTTAACAAGGTTTTTCTACTTTTAGCTCCGGTGACCTACTTTTCATCCGAGATGACCCATGTTCGAACTCATCCAAGCTATCACCTAGACAAACATCCTGACCAAGTTTGATGATGATTGAGGCAAAAATGTGACCTCTAGAGTGTTAACAAGGTTTTTCTATTTTTAGCTCTTGTGACCTAGTTTCTCATCCGAGATGACCCATGTTCGAACTCATCCGAGCTATCAACTAGATAAGCATCCTGACCAAGTTTGATGATGATTGAGGCAAAAATGTGACCGCTAGAGTGTTAACAACTAAATGTGAACGGACGATGGACGGACGACGGACGAAGGACAATCATCGATCCTAAAAGCTCACCCTGAGCATGCTCAGGTGAGCTAAAAACTACATAAATAAAAAAAAATATTATTATAATAAATACGATTAATCTTTTCGGATAGTCATTAGATAAATTGTATCTGGTTTTTTTTATTATCAAAAATAGCATATCTGATTTCAAAATAACTTTGTATAACATATCATGTGGTCGTGAAACTTATCTGCATGAGGTACTTTTGGTGGTGGTTGTGTTGGTAGTTTTCACTACAGATCACAGCAGTAAGCCACATTGAAGATACCAGAGCCACGGCATCATTCCTGGGCAGGCTGTCATGCAGTTTACCAGTACTAAGTTATCTTCACTTTTGCAAATAAATGATAACTTTTGTACATGCCAGAGGGGAGGTACAGTGCAGAAAGTTAAAGGTAATTTTTACATATTCTGAAAGATGTTCATATTGCTAACCTTGTTTGCGAAAAAACATATTTTTTCTCTGCATAGTTTACGACATTTGAGCCGCGCCATGACAAAACTAACATAATGGGTTTGCGACCAGCATGGATCCAGACCAGCCTCCGCATTCGCGCAGTCTGATCAGGATCCATGCTGTTCGCTAATACAAACCCTATTACAAGTAGAGAAACTGATAGTGAACAGCATGGATCCTGATCAGACTGTCCGGATGCACAGGCTGGTCTGGATCCATGCTGGTCGCAAACCCATTATGTTGGTTTTGTCATGACGCAGCTCATTTAAAAACATTTTTGTCATACTATTCTATTTAAAAAATGTGTATTTGTTCAATGCAAAGCTAGTATAATAATCTGCATTATTACTTGGCAAATTCTATTTGAAGAAAAACTATAAATAAAATTCTGGGCATTCAATACTTTTCTTATATCAAATAAATTAGAATCATTGAAATATTACATATTAAATAATTTAGTTTATTATAAACTTCAAGCATTTTCACCATGTGATTTTCCATTATAAATTATTATTATGATATATTAAGATTAATTTGGCCTCATTTTTGTTTGTTCGTCAAAAAAAATCCAAGCATTTCATTTATACATTTTTCTTAAGTAACATAAAGGGAGAAAATTCAAAACTTCAAAAGCAAGCTAGAATTATGGTTCCTGGACACTGCACTTACTTTCACTGGTCACTTAAGTTCTAATGAAAATCTGTATCTTGCACTATCCTCCAAAATGTAAAATGACTAAAACTCTACTGGAAGACTTGCCCATATGGGCAACCGGTGGCGAGTATAAATAAACGCAAGTACACACACATACAGTGTCCGAGTGGTTAAGGTCGCTGACTTGAAATCACAGGTCCCTCACCGCTGTAGGTCGATCCTCACTCTGGTCGAAATCTTTCGTGTGAGGAAGTCATCCAGCTGGCTTACAGAAGGTCGGTGGTTCTACCCAGGTGCCCGCTCGTGCCTGAAATAATGCCCGGAGGTGCACCTGGGGTCTTCATTCACCAATAAAAGCTGGGGAAAAAAATCGGCGAAAAAAACTTGGTGGGATGCTCTAGGATGGCCCGACTTGAGTGTACGGTGGCCCATATGGGCTTTCCGGCAGCAACCTTAAATAAACGCATTACAAAACTAGAAATGTGTCATCATGCCACGGATGCCCCCGCATGCAGCCAAAATTTCAGATGTTATAATATTTAGTTCCAAATTTGTTTGCACAAATTATTTTTTTCATTTGCAGTTCAAAGCCCTTAAAACTTTTCAATGTTAACACAAACCATTTTCATACAATGTTCAAAGCACTGAAATTATTTAGTCTTAACCTTTTGAAAATAGCATATTTCATATTTGTAGCCAAAATAATGGCTACATACATTTCCACAAAAGTATGAGTGCTGAAACTGAAAGTTCAAAATTTTTCCAACATTCAAGAAAGATAAGTTTGTCCAAAATCATTGAACCACGACCAAATTCAAACTTAAACTGCTTATTCCTAAGATGTATCTATATTATTTTCAAAGTGAAAGGGACATAACTCTGCCAAAAAATCATCGAACCAGGACCAAATTCCAACTTGACCTGCCCATTCCTTTGACATATCCATATGTCAAATTTGAGTTGAATATGTAACACTGTTGGGGAGATAATAAATAGAAACTGAAAATTTCATATTATTTTCAAAGTGAAAGGGGCATAACTCTGCCAAAAATCATTGAACCACGACCAAATTTGAACTTGACCTGCGCATTCCTTTGATGTATCCATATGTCAAGTTTGAGTTGAATGTGTTGTACCGTTGGGGAGATAATGAATGGAAACTGAAAATTTCATATTATTTTCAAAGTGAAAGGGGCATAACTCTGCCAAAAATCATCGAACCATGACCAAATTCGAACTTGACCTGTATTTTCTCAAGACATATCCATATGTCAAATTTGAGTTGAATGTGTTGTACCTTTGGGGAGATAATGAACGGAAACTGAAAATTTCATATTATTTTCAAAGTAAAAGGGGCATAACTCTGCCAAAAATCATCGCACCATGACCAAATTCGAACTTGACCTGTATTTTCTCAAGACATATCCATATGTCAAGTTTGAGTTGAATGTGTTGTATCGTTGGGGAGACAATGAACGGAAACTGAAAATTTCATATTATTTTAAAGTAAAAGGGGCATAACTCTGCCAAAAATCATCGAACCATGACCAAATTCGAACTTGACCTGTATTTTCTCATGACATATCCATATGTCAAATTTGAGTTGAATATGTGCAACCGTTACTTAGATAATGAACGGAAACTGATGATGACGGAATGACAGAATGACGGAATGACGGAAGGACGGAATGACGGAATGACGGAAGGACGGAATGACGGAAGGACGGAAGGACGGAACAGGGTAACACTATATGCCCCGGCCATTACATGGCGGGGGCATAAAAAAAACAACATACAATGACTTTCAAATCTAGCTGTCTGGGGGTCATATATAAACCTAGAGAATAAAGTTTTTACCTTCTTGATTTGTTTCCATTCATGGTTACCTTCTTAGCAAATGATCGAAATGTTAAGGGTGTTGATTTTTCCCCAATGGATCTCTTTTTCTGGGACATAGGTCTAACAAAATAACAACAGAACTAACATAACATAACAGCAAAAAATAGGGATACAGTGTAAATTGGCAGTCAGGTATGTGATTTAATTGTTTCATTTTCAATTCTTAAAATTTTAACTTCCATTTTAAACTATCCCTGATAAAAAATTGAACATTGATTTCCAATGATGCAGAAGTGTAATAAAGCCATTTAATTAAAAAACAATATTAAACTAGTGTATTTTGATGAAATTATATTCGTGTAGATTCAAAGAACTCATTGAATAAAACAATATTATGCTCGCCAGAGGCTTGCATTATATGATTTTATTCAACAAGTTCAATAAATTTAGTATTAAACCTTTCCTCTATTTATCACTACTATTTTTAGGAATTATTACAATTTTTTATTCACATGTAGTTAAATTTCTTTCCTCTATCAAAGGGAATTGATGTTTTTTTCTTTAGTGACCCTTCAATATGTACCAACTTTGGACATTGAATAATCGTTCATTATATCAGAAATGTAACAATTTAAATCACACGAGTTAGCATGTCTCCTTACACTGTATAAAACATATCCTACTCATAACATAATAAAACAACAAACGCATGAAAGATATGACCATCCCTAAAATACTGACAAACAATGTTTGTTTCCCATTTTGTACACTGTCATCTTTAGCATTATAGAAACATAGTCCTCAGGGCTCTCATTAGATTACAAAAAATATGGAAGCCCATCTAAAACACCTGTTTTAATGCCCAGTTTTTTAAGAATAGTCAAAAATTAACAATAAATAAACAAATAGATTCAAAGACATAGACATTACCTAGCACATAGTATGGTAAATTTATGTCTTTTTTTTTTCCCTAACAGATATAAACTATTTTTCCACTTCAACATGAACATGTAAGATACCTTCTCCCAAACACACTTTTAGTAACATTATCAAAAGTGTTTGCACGCTTGGCTGTATTAAATATAGACAGACGACCTGCTGTATGTAATCCGTCCCCGTGGTCACCCTCTACATGCAGCGCAGAGGCTGGAGTACCTCTCCCACGTGATCTATGGTTTATACAGTCATATACTATTAAATACATGCATGAATGATAATTATATATAAGCCGCGTCATGACAAAACCAACATAGTGCGTTTGCGACCAGCATGGATCCAGACCAGCCTGCGCATCCGCGCAGTCTGATCAGGATCCATGCTGTTCGCTTACCAACCCTTTTACAAGTAGGAAAAATAAAAGCGAACAGCATGGATCCTGATCAGACTGCGCGGATGCGCAGGCTGGTCTAGATCCATGCTGGTCGCAAACGCAACATGTTGGTTTTGTCGTGACGCGGCTCATATAAGTATTCTCCTTATAAGGAGGAACGTATTCCTCTTATAAGAGGAATGCCTATATGAAACCCATGGAAAATAACTTCCCTTCCCTAGCATACATTGGAATATTGGACCATATTATGGTATATTGGACCTTATTATGGTACATTGGACCCTATTTTGGTAAACTGGACAATATTATAATATATTGGACTACCTTGCTTTGCAATTTGTATCAGTAATTCAGTGATTTTCTTTTTACATAGGAAAGAGGTTTATTAATGCTTTATTTAAATAACATATTTGTGCCCAAAATTAGCCTTATATTATGGTGATTGTCAGTCCAATATGGCATTAACAGTCCAATATTACAAAAATAAATCCAATACGCAATATTTGCTAGGGTTATTAGTCATGCTTAAAACCACATGTCTAATACATTGAGAGCTTGCTGTGAATTGTGCAAAACTTCCTTATTTCATGTACATGAAACCAAAAAGTGTGACACCAAGGCCCCAGTACATAGATTATAAAACAAATAAGCACTAACAGGTCTGAGGTCTTCTGTTGCCATGCAGGCGTCTTCTTTTGCGTTTCATCATCAGATAAAAGATCAGCATTATCTCCAAAAGTGTCTGCTGCAGACGAGCGAAGCGGGTTGAAGCCCCCCTGGTTGTATGAGGCCACCGATAGTCTCCGACTATGCTGTGTATTCTGTCTCGGTGTTCTACATAAATTGTTGGGAGAAAGAGAGAGAAAAATTGTGACTGACAGGTGTGCAAACTTAAAATAGAAATCATTGTTAAAGAGATATCTTGGAAGTATCATTGTCAAAGACATTTTTTGAAAGCATCATTCTAAGAGAGATATCTTCAAAGTATCATTGATAAAGAAGAATTGAAGGAATCATTGTCAAATATATCTTGAAAGAGGCATTGCCAGAGATATATTTTGAAAGTATTATTGTCAGAGAAGCATTGATAGAGATATACTTTGAAAGTATTATTGTTAGAGATATATCTTAAAAGTATCATTGTTAAAGATACATCTTGAAAGTAGCATTATTAGAGATACATCTTGAAAGTATCATTATTAGACATATATCTTGAAAGTATTATTGTTAGAGATTAATCTTGAAAGTATCATTGTCAGAGATTTATCTCGAAAGTATCATTGATAGAAATTAATCATGAGAGTATCATTGTTAGAGATATATCTTGAAAGTAATTACTGTTATAGATATATCTTGAAATGATCATTTTTATAGATATATCTTGAAAGTATTTTTGTTATAGATATATCATGAAAGTATCATTGTTATTATTATTGATATATCTTGAAAGTATCATTATACAGATATATCTTGAAAGTATTATTGTTAGAGATATATCTTGAAAGTATCATTTTTATAGATATATCTTGAAAGTATTTTTGTTATAGATATATCATGAAAGTATCATTGTTAGAGATATATCATGAAAGTATCATTGTTATAGATATATCTTGAAAGTATTATTGTTAGAGATATACCTTGAAAGTATCATTGTTATAGATATATCTTGAAAGTGTTATTGTTATAGATATATCTTGAAACTATTACTGTATTCCTAGAAATGTTCGCGGATACAATATTTCGCGTTTTTCACAACGTCGGCATTTTCGCAGAGACAAACTTTCGCGGATATGTAGTAACCGCGAATTCCGCGAATGTTAAGTCGCTACGGCCTAAATTAAAGCTTTTGGAGGCTACGTTTTTGATGCATGACTTTGCCTGTTGGGTGCTTTTAATTATTTTATTTTTTTTGATAATTCGCACCTTAAGCGCAACGTTACTCGATACATTTTCATCTATTGACTAGTTGAACAAGGACGGTTGTTCCGTAAACACTTTCATATTTCCTTACCTTTTTTCATTATGTTATTAAGTAAGATTTAGTCAGACTCGTTAGCTTTTATTCTAATTTGAATCCTAACTGACTTTATCTTCAAAATGTCGATACGTATTTTTTTACACATTATCGGACTGTACATCGCTTTCATTATATAATAACAACATAACAACTGTTTATCAATGTAGCACTTTATCGCTTTTTGTACTTTTAACAAAGGATTACACCTACTCCAAGCAAATAAAATCAAGTCATTCAATGTTCGCAAAACTGTAATGCGTTTGTTAACGCTGGTGACTAGCAAATAACGTCAATAAGCATGATAATTACTAATAATTGATATTTTCTTTTCAGCGTGCAAACTAGTATAAATAACATACATAAATTATTCTTTACACATTTCTATAGCACCTGTGTTTATATGTTTTTTTGTGTAAGTAGATTATAATAAATATTCTGCACTTTTTATGTTATATTTGGCTGAAGCTAGAAATGTTCGCGGATTTGTTATAAGTGACATATTCGCGGCTATAAAGATTCGCGGAATCACGCCTACCGCGAAAACCGCTAACTTAAAATGCGCGAAATCTTTTCTTGGAATACAGTATTGTTAAAGATATATCTTGAAAGTATTAATGTTAAAAATATATATATTTTGTCAGAGATATACCTTGAAAGTGGTGGCCTAGTGGTTAAGGTGTTGGCCTCTCAACACAGAGATCATTGGTTCGAGCCCTACTTGGGTCACGACCATGTTTGTTCATATGACACCAGTACTGGTTGGTTCCAGAAAGCGGACTCAAAATGATTAATATATGTTGCAATTTAAAATGTCCGTAAAATCAAGAATATAATAAAAAAAGAAAACCTGAGGAACTAGGAAGAAAAAGTTTATAAAGATCTATCCTACAGTCATAATGCATATTTAGAACACATATTGGGGTAGAGAAAAGAGTTTGATCAAAGTTCTGAAAGGTTTAACAGAAATCAAGAAGAAAGTCTTTTTTTCAAAATGAAGTTGAAAAACATTTTGTTGGGCAAAAAGTAGTAGGACAAATGCATTGATTTGTTTACAGCAAATAATCCTTTGTGTTCTTTTGCTGGAGTTGGTTTCTTTTCATTGAAAAAGGATCCTCTTGCAAGAAATCTCCAAGTTCGCTAGGGTCCTCGGCTAAAGAAGTGCGCCGGCTGTTGTAACCACTTCTGTAAGTGCTTCCACCTCGCTGCCTCCCTCCGGGTATGTGAGAACTGTAGTATATATTATACATAAAGAAGGAAAGATAGAGAAAGTATTGAAAGATGATAGACAGTGAAAGATACGTAATTGTCTCAGTTAAAACGCCCCCAGGAGCTTGCATTTTTTTTCAAAAGGGGGTTGGGGGTGCTAATTAGAACTATAAAAATGTGCTTAAAAATATGTTTACTAAAGACACAATTCAATTATAATTCAATTATAAAAGTCATTATTTATTATTATGATCTAATATAAAATACAGAACTACTTTTTTAATGATTTACATTACTCGAGGGTCATTAATTGTTATCTTTTAAATAAGAATATTTGGATTTTTTGGATTGCTCTTTCATTTTGGATTATAAATCTATAAGGTAAGAATTTTATTCTACAAAATGTGGTGGAGGGCGGGCGCTTATTAGAGGGGTAGGAGGTTGTTAATTGAAAACAATTAAGTATGCTAGATAGGGTGAGAAAAGTAGGTGTAGAAGGAACTAAAAAGTACCTTTTGAATTCTATCTACTTTAGGTATCATACAAACTTCTACCATGCATATCCAAACCCCGTTATTTACCAAGGTAATTTGAATTTTCTGACAGAACATTTCACTTTTTAGTGAAATGAATAGTATGCATTATACTATACTCTACACACTTACATGTATTTGTCAATTTTATTTGTTTTATGATCTTTTAAACAAAACTATTGTATGAATTTCTTGATAAACTACATGACAGTCTCTTTGGACTAATAAACTACAAAGGGAAGCAAGTTTGCACAACTAAAACACTATCCAAACCCATCAGCTCATGCACTTTATAGTAAGTTAAAGCAGAATGTTATGAAAAGAAGGGATGAGGTTACATGCTAGAATACTCACAACTTGTGTGTCACAATATATTGTAGTCACTGAAAATTGAAGTTATACATATAGAATAAACTAATTCAATATATAAAGGGAAGCAACTCTGCACAATTAAAACACTATCCAAACCCATCAGCAATAAGATAATTCAATATATAAAGGATATTCAAATACAGGATTTATTTTTATTGAGTTCTATGAAAATAAATATTTCATGACTGGCTGTGAGCTATGAGTGAAATATGATAATTTTCATACGAAAAATGATGAAAATAAATCCTGTATTTATAAACTGGAATTTTTTGTTTATTAAAACTTTTCTCTTTTTCATCTTACCACTTGGCAAGACACCATTGAAAATATGGTAAATATGTTTCACTGCAATAAAAAAGAAATTTTCACTGTGAAAATACGAAACATGAAAATATACATTTTATTATCAATAATTTTATATCAAGATATATCATGTTTTTCAATATTTCATTTATAAGTATATAATAAATTACTCAATCTGCAACAGAAGTCATTCTTAACACTAGCTTCAAAGCTATTTTGTCAATTTTGGTACAGTCAGTATTTTATAAGTAACCTCTCAAAATCTATTTCTTTCATGAGTTTTCCACTCACCACTCAAAACCTCAATTAACTATGCTATAACACACATTCATACATGTGTTTACCACTCAAAAATGTACACAGTGTGCTTTAACTTACACGTATGTTCCACGGCTATAATCTTCTTCTCTGAAATGATCCCTCTGTAGTCTTTCTACGGCCTCCCTTGACAACGGCACCTGAATAGAAAAATTTGTAGAAGTTTATACATATAAGCTTATTGAAAGACTCTCGAATCCGTTCCTGGAACCAACCAGTTCTAAGCAATGAGTATAAAGTTTCTTGCTCAAGGAAACAACGGCTTGCCCCTGACAGGGTTTATACCCACGTGGTTAACAATCCTTAGATACTAGTAAATCGTGTTAACAACTTAATTTGTATTAAAAGCTGGCCCGAAAATGAAAATAGAAATAACAAAGTTTTCTTTCCCCTTTTCTCAATATTATTGTTAAAAATGTTTTGTTTAAAGCAGCATGCCTTCAGTATCAAGCTAATTTTCATGAAAATTTTGAAAATGAATTTAAAAGTAAAATATTGTGAAGTCATAGGAAGTAATTTACACATTGCAAACAGCACTTACAATCCACATAAATTACCAAAAGGAAGTCAAAATAAGCAAAAATAGGCAAATAGTCCTAACTGCATTAGTCACACAGTAGAAATATGGTGATAAATACTTCTAAATCAGTCTTTAATCACACATAACATGTAAATCATAACTTAAATCCTGAATCTTTTTTACTTTTCTTAAAATCTTAGTACATTTTTCTCAAGTTTGATTTTTATGAAATAATTTTCCTCATCTGGAGGCAGGCAGCTTAGTATAACTTTCATTTACACAAGTCACAAAAGATATAATTACATTCCTAATCTAATTTGAAATCCAGTTAAACTTCGTTCGCTCGAACTCGGATCGCTCGAATACCCCCCTTCGCTCGAACTCATCGCCCAGTCCCGGCAAAATTCCTATATAATATATATTGTTCTACCTCGGTTCACTGAACACCCATCGCTCGAACTCTCGAACCTGATCTCTGGTCCCTTCCGAAGAAATATAGTGTAAATCACACCTTTTCGGTCGAACACAAACAGACAACAAAAGTTGCGGGTCGACATGTTCTAAATAATTGACAGCCGGCGACACATGTTTTTAACACCTCGTGATCGTGATAAAGGCAATTAAGGTTAATTGATACAAATTAAAAGGTGTTGAAACCGATTTGTTTGTTATGATAAAATTGTATATTTGCCGTTTTTAGTAATAATAAAAAGAAAATAACCCCTGAAATGACGTTTACCTGGACGGCTTTAATTACAACCGTGGTTCATGTAATGTGAATTGTAACAGTGTAATCTATTTATAGAATGATACTTGTACGTGTGTTTATTTTAGTAAATAACTACAAAAATATGCTGCTGTAAAATGTTCTTTTGTTAATATTTCATTAATGCATTGTTTAAAATAAAATTCATCCCATAATAAACATATAAATATATTTTGAACATTGTTCACAGTTTGGATAATGATCGCCCAATTGAACCCAACCAATTTCAATATGTATGAATATAGATTAAAACAGTGACCGTTAAATCTGTTTTCAATAGGATAATAATTCTTACTAGGACGTATTCAACAAATGAATGTACTAGCAAACAATTATATTGATGTATTTATCATTTGACCGATGTAAGTTTGAAAACCTTGAGGCCTTTGTTCTATGTAATAATAGTTCAACCTCGGTTGGCTCGAACTACCGATCTCTCGAACAAATTTGCACAGGCCCTCCGAGTTCGAGCGAACGAAGTTCGACTGTATATTGTATAAATCATAAATATTTTTAAACAATATCCTATTGAAAAGATAAAAGATTGAACCCTCCTTTTTTAATTACCTCCCTTGCATACATGAAAATAATGATTTAATTGTCTCCCTTAGTCTTCACATATTTTGATCTTCCTTTCTAATGGTGATACACATTTTATAACAGTAACATGATTTTTAAATACCAGAGAATTTTACACCTTCATATATCTCTTACTACAAGGGGGAAATATTCAAGAAAAAAATGTTTCTAAGTACTAATGGAAATAATAAAAAAAATTTCATCAACAAAATTCATTCTTGAGGAATTTCTGTGTATCATTTAATTGCAGGCAAAACTTGCCAGAATAAATCCAAGTGGGAAATTACATATGATATACATTGATATGCCAATATTCAAAAATGAAAAAGGTATGTTACATAGAAATGGAAATTCAACTAGAATTGGAATTTGGAATTTTGGAAACAATTAAAGTTCATTATGCCCCAGAAACGAATAAATTGTTACTTCTTAGTAACATTTAAAGGGAGACACAGGCAAAATTTTCATTTCTTAGTTTTGAATTTTTCATTCATTACTCTGTAAATGCCCTCAAAATGAATACTTTAGACAGTCAAAGGAACAAAACTTTTCTCCATATAAAGAATAAAATGGTGGTTTCCTAACTTGACCCGCGTGGGTCAGGTTAGAGCGCTAGCATTTCACAATAGTTGTCAAAGTGAACTCTAGAAACGTGAAAGAACATGTCAAATGAATGACTTTGGCTTGTTTCAATCATACAATATCCTCAATATCTGTTATTGTAACTTCAAGGGTTTGTTCAAGTCAACTGACTTGTTTAAAAACTATTTTGTGATTCTATTGGCGTCTAAATTTTGTTCATTATATGTAAATATATTTACGCTTCAAACCCAAAATATATAGAATTTAAACAGAAATGCAAGCTGAAACTTCCAGAAAAGTTATTTTAGCGTCATTTGAGTACATAAGATCATTTTGATATTTTTGTCATTATTTTGCCTGAATATCCCTTTAAAGAATGGTTTTCGAGCATGTAAGATGCTTGTTACCTGAAGAAAGTAGGGCTAAATGTAAAATTATTTGACACATAAGTAGCAAACCTAAAGGCATTTCTGGGGTATCTTGGGCTGTTAAAACATTATGCATGTTATCTTTGGCAAAACATTTGGAAATTTTGAAACAATAGAAACATAGCATACATACCTTTGACCGAATGTCCCTCACTTTAAGATTATGTAAAGCTCTAAGAACATTGAATATCGACTTAAGGAAGAACAGATGGTCTCGTAGCTGTCTTTCTTTTCGCAATAGGCTGTCAAAATTAATAAAGTTTCTCAGAAATTAACAATTCAAAACCTTTACTGTCTTTACTTCTGATTTAGCCGTTTCTGCTGCCTTGGCGTCAACCAAGGTAAAGATACATGGAAAATACTATTCAATTTACTGTTTAAACTATATGATTACATATAGGGGATACTGAATGAGTGTTACTAAGGTTTAATACTGAATGAGTTGAATGAGTTGAACAATATCATATTATGTGAGCCTCTGGCAAGAATAATATTGTTTTATTCAATGAGTTCAATAAGTTCGTTATTGAATTTATACAAATACATGTATGATATTCTATTATCACATATTCAAAATGGTTAATATAATTAAAAAGAGTATTTACTTATAGTTATGCCTATAGTGTAATGCTCCTCAACATTAGCTCACTTAAATGCTGTTTTTTTATATAACGCAAATGACATCGCATTTAAGTGTTATTACACTTGTGAAATATTGATTTTATTTTTATTAAAAGAGTTTAATACACTCCTGCACCAGGGTTTATGTGAAAATTTATTTTATTCAACAACTTCAATAAATTTAGTAATGAATACTTTTTCCGCTGATCCAGATGACCATCAGCCAATATTGTAGCAAATCGGTTATTTCTGAATGTAATTTTTTCAAAATCTTGAGCATTAGATTATTTACAATCACTCATCCTTCATCTCTATGTACTAAATTCCAGTAATAAATGGTTAAAAATTACTCAATACTGAAGATTGTGACAAAAAACCATCCGGCAATGGCCGATTTATTATAATATAAGCCAATGTTAGAAATTTTGGGAATGAAAGCATTACAGTAAGACTATCAAGTTAGTGCAAAATGCATGACAACATGAGACTTACACAGACGTTATCTCAGTACTAACTTGCACGAGGGATATTTTGTTCTTCTTTATTGACGGCGCTTTAAGGGTTGACCGTCCACTGCTATTACTTCTTACAGGTGAAGGGGAAGTGATTATCTCTGCTATCGACACTTTACCACCTGCAATAATGTGAGATATTATTTACCATAAAGATATGACTGGGACTTGAATTTATATTCCACATAAATGAGCTGCGTCACGACAAAACCAACATTGTGCGTTTGCGACCAGCATGGATCCAGACCAGCCTGCGCATCCGCGCAGTCTGATCAGGATCCATGATGTTCGCTACATGTAACAGGGTTGGTAAGCGAACAGCATGGATCCTGACCAGACTGGGCGGATGTTGGTTTTGTTGTGACGCAGCTCAAATATAAAATACTAGGTTCCATTACGCATTATTATTGCCTATACCCAGTGTCACCACTGGTCTAATTACCAGACTCATTCCCAATGGCAAATACGCTTAATTTTTCCAAATCTATGGAAAAAAATTCCAATTGAACTGAAATCTCACAAATTTGGTGGAGTTTACTCTAGTATGGTATCAGACAGATGTTTCCACACATTTCATTGTCAAATTGTGTTGATTTTTTAATAATATCTGTCATGGATGTTTTTATCTATATGTTCAGGGGCAAAAGCTCCTTAAAAACCAACAAGATTCTGAAAGGAAATTACAAGCAAGACTTTCCTTATGGTTGTTAAAATATGAGAAAAAAATGGTTCTTAGAAAACTGTAATTTTGGAAGAATAAACCTCGAAACAGATGCAATATTATATGTAGAGGATATTCAAGTTTTTTCTATAAATACAGAATTTATTTTCACCGAGTGGTATGAAAATCAATATTTCATAAGTTGCAAAAGTATCAAGTGAAATATGATAATTTTTATACCACAGGATGAATTTTCTGTTGTTTTTTTTATATTAGTTTTTCTCTTTTGAGACAATACAATTTGAATGATTTGCCCTTAAATTTTGTGTACTGACTGAATACTAGTATAGCAGAAAGTAGTCTGGCAAGGTCGACACCAGTGAAAATACAGAAAATATGTTTCACTGCTACAAAAAAATAAATTTTACAGTTCAATTACGAAAAATTAAAATTTATTTTATTTCATCAATATTGCTCAATATTTACCTTATAAGTATATATGAGCCGTGTCATGACAAAACCAACATAATGGGTTTGCGACCAGCATGGAGCCAGACCAGCCTGCGCATCCGCACAGTCTGATCAGGATCCATGCTGTTTGCTATCAGTTTCTCTACTTGTAAAAGGGTTTGTAAGGGAACAGCATGGATCCTGATCAGACTGCGCGAATGCGCAGGCTGGTCTGGGTCCATGGTGGTCGCAAACCCATTATGTTGGTTTTCTCATGATGCGGCTCATATATAGATTACATATCACCTATAATATCCTATGATTTTTTTTGTTAATTATCAATCTTACTTGAATTTCTACTACTCTTTTTGGATTCTGGTTCACTAGGGGCTTGACTGGAAGTTTTACCAGTCTTTGTCAAGCATACAGATGATACAGATTTGAGAACCATTCCGGTGTCTTCCGATTTACTGGCCTCTATCTCAGCATTACTGGTCTCCTTAAACACAAGGTAAAAATAAATTTAAGCTATTCATATAATGGCAAATGTTTTTATTTCCATTCAACTAATACTCATCATGGTGTGAATTTTGCTGAAAACTTTTTCAAGGATTTAACCCTTAACTTGCTGAATTTGTGCAATGGATTTGTCCTTCTTTGAATTTGTAATAGTCCATTCAAATAAATTTTAGGGATTTCATTAAAAAAAAAGAGTCTTGTAAGACTGAACTAACATGAATCCTGACCTGGTTCTATACTGGCGGCAAAGACACCTTCCGTTATTCAGATTATATGGGTTAAAAACAAGAAATTTTGAACATCCAGAGGACATTCTGAAGCCTGCAATATATGTTTGATCTTGGAACCAAACAACATACTAAGATAACAAACATATTCCTAACCTGAAACCCCTTAATTCAAACAAAAGACTTGCCCTTCTTTGAATTTGGAACTGTCCATTATCATTTTAAAGGGTAATATCAACATGAAAAGCATATATTGAGCAGACAACTTTACTGACTGGCCGGTATCTACACAAGTGGTCAAGTACAGCCATACAGGGTCCGCAAAATATGATTTTGACTTACTTTTATATTATAATATACATGTATATATTATATTTTTCTTTACGTTTTTTACTTGTCCGTATGATATTTATAAAATAATTTTGTAAATTCCGAAAAAAAATTCACATATCTGTACAGGCTTTGGGACAACCTGGACAATATGGAAAAACTGATTTAGCCGGCCCTGCCATAACCATCACATGTATTGAGTGTGTTCCAACAGTTAATAAATCTGTGTACTTTGATATCCCTTTTTTCCCCTGACCAATTCAATATTCTTACCTCAACAGCTTTGACATGATCCTCGTACCATTTCCCAGCTTTTACACATACAATCCTTTGATTAGATTCTTTGAGGAGCTTCTTAATGTCATCATAGCCTGCTGTAGGGGCCGTATCTATAAGATCCTGGCTCGTAAACGAGTCATCGTCAAATTCAAGCTGAAATTGAACATTGTTACCTAAATGATAAAATCCATGTGCATATTTCTAATAATATGGAAATTCAGTGATTTTTCTCACTTAATTGGGAAGAGGCTATAATTTGGGGAAAAGTAAAGCTAAAATTGCTAAATTGGGAAGTAAAAAAGCACGTGTATATTCAGATTTTAGGGAAACTGCATGACTTAAAATTGGGAAGAGCCTTTTATAGGAGTCTGTTATATATAGTGAGCCAGAAAATCACTAAAATTGTATTGCGTAAGTTAATTTGACTTATTTTAAACCATAAATTCTTAATAATTGTTAAATTATGTTTTCACAAGCATTTTAACCCTTTTGTTATTATCCCTATGACAAGTCTGGCAAATATGAGCCGCGTCACGACAACACCAACATAATGTGTTCACTATCAGTTTCTGTACTTGTAATAGGGTTAAATTTGTAAGCTAACAGCATGGATCCTGATCAGACTGCGTGGATGCGCAGGCTGGTCTGGATCCATGCTGATCGCAAACGCATTATGCTGGTTTTGTTGTGACGCTGCTCATATATTGAACAGACCTACTGAAAGTCTTTACGCACATCAAATAATATTTGGGCTTGACAATCCACTAACACTGTAAAGTTCATATAATGACTTCCACCTTTACTGGTGAAGGAAGACCTCAAGTGCCCCTCTATGCATTATTTCAGGCATGAAGGTGTACCTTAGTAGAACCACCAACATTCTATAAGCTTGCTGGATAGCTTCCCTAAATAAAAATATCCAAAGTCCCTGTCAGGATTTGAACGGGGCCAGTGTTTTGAAGTTAATGACCTTAAAGCAGCATGCCTCCAGATTCATGCTAATTTTCATGAAAATTTTGAAAATGTATGTAAAAGTAAAATACTGTGAAGTGAACAAAGGAAGTAATTTACACATTGCAAACGGCACTTACAATCCACGTAAATTACCAAAAAGAGGTCAAAATATACATAAATATATTTTACTGTGTTTGTTACACAGTATAATTATAGTGGTTGATATTGCTAAATCATCATTAATGGCACATAACATGTAAATAATTAATTTAACATTGAATTTTTTTACTTTTCTTAAGATATTTATATATTTTCTAAAGATTGAATTTCTTGAAATATGTTGGCTCATCTGGAAGCATGCAGCTTTAACTATTTGGCCATGGATGCCAAATACATAAAAATAAAAATATATTTGACCAAGGAGAATCTTTGTGATTACTATGAGTAGGGAAACGACAATACATTTACCATAAATATATTGCAAACTGTTTTCATATTAAGTAACTAAGTTACTGATATAAATGAGTTATCAAAATATTTTCCTAGTCAATGAAATATTGTTATAAAGTTTCAAAGTGAAAAAACACATGCAAGAAAGTAGTACACAGACCTATTTGATGGCTAAAGACCAAGAAATAAGACTGGCAGACATTTGTCTTGCTCTATAACTGAATTATTCAAAATCATATTTTGCAACTATAGACAATTTAAAGATAAGATTCCACATTAATAAAGTTAAAAAATAAGAAACAAGCCCTAACAAAATGTTCAAATGTTTCACCTTATCTTTCCCATTTGGTATGGTGTCGATTTTTTTCTCTTCAAAAATTGTACCTCTTCTAAGTCGGTTGATCTGTAAAATTCACAATTTGCTTCATTGAATTGTAACATTACTTTAAGTTTTGAAATTGGCTTTTTCAAGGACTGTTTTTTGCTTTAGAATCGACAATGACAATATTGGGATATAAGAAGAGATTAATACCTTACTTTTATCATGGACAATAGAAAGATGTAATAAATTCATTCTTTGATTGTGTTGGATTTTTTTTTGCCATACTAAAACACTAATGTCAAAGACAGGTCCAGTTCATTTGTTTATTTTTCTTGTTTTTATGCCAGTTTTATCACATTTTTTGGGTCTTTCAGAGGTCGATCCACCTTAGGGCACCTAACTGGCTTTCCTCCATAGCTAACCAATAATAACCATTGTTTCTACAAGTGACCAATTACTAATCCTACATGATTTTCTGAATCAACGTTGACAGACAAATGAACAAAACATTCAATGTTTGAAGGTTGTCACAGAGAAACTGTGCCTCAACTTTAGATACTTACACTACAAATATGAACAAGCAATTATCATAGTATTGCAAGCAATCCATAAGTCCCCTACCGGTAAGAGCCCAAGCAACATTCTGAAGGGCCATTGTTCACTTATGTTCCTATTTTAAGTAAATTTGTTGAAAAATGTCTTTAAAAGTGATCACAGGAAACAGTTTTTATGTACAGACAGACGGACTGAAGGACACTCTACAGTTATTTTTTAAACATCCCTGTTATCAAAATATAACATTTTAAAAATCCTATCATGATTGAAGAAGTTGGAGTAAAAATTACCAATTTCTATAAAAAAGTCTAAGTTCAAAAGGGGCATAATTCTGGAAATAGTCTTACTAGAGTATTGAACACTCACAAATGTTGAGTGATAATAAGAAACATTTATATGAAGTTTGAAGTAGATACATTCAGAAAAAGAAGTTATTAAAAAAAACAATGTTTTTTTCATGAAAATTTAATGTTCAAGGGAGGTAATTCTGATAAATTTTGTGCTAGAGTTGTAAACCTTGTCACATATGATGTGGTTGATGACAAGCAACTTATATTTAAAGTTTGAAGAAAATACCTTAAGAAATAAAGAACTTATAGTGAAAAAACTTAAAAACTAGAATCAGAAATCTTGAAATTCAGTCTATTTGTTGCCATAGCAACCAGAATTTTCAACATAGGAAGATAAGAAATTGATGTGCATAATTTCCATACTGCCATCTACCCATATGTCAAGTTTCATAAACATATTTTCAGTAATTTTTGTGTTATCACTGGATCCAGGTTATGTGCAAAATTTGCCATATTTTCAGTCTATTTGTTGCCATAGCAACCAGAATTTTCAACATAGAAAAAGACGTGCATAATCTCCATACTGCCATCTATCCATATATCAAGTTTCATTAAAATATTTTCAGTACTTTTTGCGTTATCGCAGGATCCAGTTTTGTGGACGGACTGACGGACGGACGGACTGACGGACAGACAGACAGACGGACGGTAAACCTAAAGTCCCCTCCGGTAAACCGGTAGGGGACTAATAAACATTGGCACTTCTTACGACCACTATTCTTCACTAACAATGACTTTCATAAAAGTACATCAGTAACAGTAACATAGTTAGATAAATGAACAGCTCTGATCATCATTTACCAAGTAACACAAATGTTCTGACCTTTCTATCAAAACTTCCCGGTAATGAAGACATGACCAGTTCAGCTGGGTCTAGAATCAGCTGTCCACCAATCGGCTCATACGGTTCTACAGACGTACTGTAAAACCCTCTATGCATGTTAGCTTGTCGTCGTCTGTAATTGGAATTCCAGTAATCTTCCGGTTTACTTTTCTGGCAAGTAATGTCTGTACGACATTGTACTTTTTCATGACTGTATACTTTCTCTGTTAAAATAAAAAGTTTTCATGACAAAGAAATTGACAATATATATGTATCAATATCACATCAGATTTTATGTATTAAATTAATATACCTATCATGTTAAAGCTCTTACTTGGATTTGCCCAGTTTTATCCAGTGACTTTCCAGCTTATATAACAAGACTCCTATAAAAGGCCTCTTCTCCATGCAGTTTTCCCAAAAATCTTAACTTAAACCTGCTTTTTTACTTCCCAAATTAGTAATTTTAGCAATAATATTTCCCAAAATCAAGAGGCTAAGGCCTCTTTTCAATAAAGTGAGAAAATTTACTGTCATCTCTTCAGAAATGTCAACTATCAATTATTGGGAAACAAAGATGAAAATATGAAGTTGATAAAGACAGTTAATTGCATACAGGCTTGTCAGATTTCTTAGGGGAGCGAAAATTTAGATTTTATTTTATGTAAAGCTGATAGTTATAAGACGAAATTATAATCAGTGATTTACTTGTATATCACTATGTCAATGTCCATGAGTTTTTCTTCACTTTTAGAGTAATTGTGGCACAGCCTACAGAGAGGGGTTTAATTGTATGGCGCAGGAGAAAAAAGGGGGGAGATTTAAAACCTGTCCATTTTCAGTTAATTTATGATACAATACTGTCCCATATAAACTAAAAAAGCATTTCCACTGCCATTGCCATAATATAAATGAATGCTGAATAAAAAGACTGAAAGACCTGTGCCAACCAATGGTGTAGAGTCAGGTCAGTAAGGTGTACATAATGAGGACTAAGAAATACTTTATTCTTACTAGGAGCTGGTCTGTAATGTTGTCTAACAAGTTTTGTGATATTTTCTCCAGTAGGAGTTGCCCTGGTTGAGGAACTGTGAATCATGTTTAATTGTCTGTCTTATTCTCTGCCCTTCATTAAAGTCCAAAGTAATTCTGAAATACGAAAAACAGTTTTAACATTTTATTGTCATTATGCCATAATGGTGGAATCACGGTGGCTTTATTAACTTGTATGGGAATGGTGGCCAGAGCTCATGCCCACGGAAAGGGGAAAACTGCATCCTTTGTAGACTTTCCTCATGGTGTTGTCTTCAGCATACCCATCCTGTCACAATATAAACACTGAAGACCTTAAGTTAACTTCGATCCTAACCACACTCAATTTACTTGCTCTATTTATACTGCAAAGTGCAAACACTGCAAAATGTCATGCTTGCTTTAAATGAAACCATTAATTTATAAGGAATCTTAAAGTGCATTGATAACTCATGAACAGAAGCATTTACTTTCATAAGATATGGAACAGTTCATGTTTTTTAATAATATTTGTTACGATTTTGCGCATGCAAGCATAGATCTAACAACTCTAGCTTCACAGTATATTGTCAAGACTACTTCCTGTTATTGCAAGAAAGGTTAAAGTTAAAATACATTGGCTCCAAAGAAAGGTACAGTCAGGAACTGATAACTTCTGTACAAGCCAGAGCATAGGTCTATGATTCTGAATTTCAGTTCCTACAATATACATGTATATAATATCACGAGTTCTATGATATAATGGTATACCGGTGCCTCATATTTTTTGTGGTACTTAACTGTTCAACACAGACAACAAAAGTTAGAAGAATAAAATTCGGGAAAACACGTTGAATATTGTATCAATTACATCATAGTGTATTCCATTTAATGTGTGCATGCAAGCAATTTTGTACACAACATGGTAGTTAACACCTATCTGCTGCCTAGTGAGTAAAGTTGTGTTCTCATATTTCTAAGGCAATTACATTTTAACAGTTTCAAAAGCAAAACCAGTAGTAATCTTTATTTTCTAGTACATCTATACCTAGCCCCATCTGAAAGTGAGGATTTTCTCTATGACATTTATCAAATATCTCAGTGGTTGTTTAACAAAGACAATTGTCTTAAAAGGTATGAAAACTAAAAGTAAAATTGTAAAATAATTTACATTGCTCTTAATCTCTTAAAATAGTAAGTTTCCACAGTCATATATGTAGTTCTGGCTTCCAAAACTTTATAAGCCGCTTTTTAATATTTTTGATTTCCATCTGATGCAGCATTAAAGTTTTGGATTAGACCCGTTACGAAACCTAACCAGAATAACATAAGTTGATTTAACTTAATACCCTTGCCTCAATCAATTCTTGTGCATTTTGCGATAAAACAATTATTTTAATATCCTTCTATACCATTTAAAGTATCAAAATATTAATACCGTCATTAAAATTGCCTATTTAAATGTAAAACATCAATTACCGCCGACCACAGTCGACCATGACATTAAGGAGCTACGCAAGACCTGGTATGACGTCATTCGCGGAAACCGATTTAAGTAGAGTCGTGTACTATATTTAGAACATCTTTGTTGAAAAAATTTCAATATTTATAATTCAATATAATGTTTTTATTTATTTTCCTTAATTTTTTAGTACTTAAATATGATTATATTGAATACAAATGTCAGTAAATCATTTTTTTCAATATCTTGAAAAAAGTACTTTATAACAAAGTTGGAAGCACATGGCCATGGGTACGTAAAAGTCAATCTCGAAATTAGATGGTCAAATATTTTGGCAATATGGCAGCCAAGTGCTGAATTTTTTAACTGTCGGAAACTATTAGGTAGCTTACATTCGACATCAGGGTGCGAATTTAAGCTAGCATACTGGCAAAATGCTAGTTAAAATCTAATAATGCCAGTAAAATTTACTCTTGCTGGCATTTATTTGCCAGTGTCTGTTCATATTGGACGTTTACATAATTCATATCTTCTAAGCTGATGATGATGCTTGGCAGCTGCCCGCTGCAGAAACTGATGATGTTAACTGTGCAAGATGCAGTAACTGATAAGGTTTACCTTAAAAACTTAATAATCAATTTTTAGTTGCTCTATTTTTTTTTCTGTGACTTTATTTTGATGGACTGTTTATAACAGCTAAACACATGTTGTTGTATCCATGTAAATGCGTAGCACTCCTCTGTAATTTTAGTGTTCACTTTTAAGCTGAAATATTTATTTAAGTAGATCAGTACCTCTGAGTTTTCAGGCTGTTGTGTAATCAAGTACAAAATATGCTAAAATTAATTAAAGTCCTAAGAAATTGCATTACATGAACAAGTTTTTAACTGTATATTGTCACCGGTGGGTGTTCCTCTGGTATATCTAATCCGCTCCCTAAACAATTGTTTATCATTTATAAATCAATGTGTTGAAATGTTTTTGCTTCCTTACAAGAAGAGATGTATGTTATAAACTAAAATAAACATGTTTCTGACATTCAATGGACATGCAGCTTATTATTAGGCCTAAAAAAAATAATTGTTTTGTTAGGGTAACATGCTCTCAAGGAATAGGTAGGGTAGGTCGGATTTTTTTTTTCTTTTTTTTTTTTATTCACCAGTATATTAACATTTGCTATTTTGTGCCTCCCGGGTGGCACAAATACATCCCTTCTATGTTTTCAAAAGACATTTTAGGTGTAACAATCTTAAACTCTCGGGTGAAGATCACACGCTGTTTTACAAATATTGACAATGTGATCCGCCATTTTGTAAACATTAAACGTTAAACATTTGATCACTTGCAAAAATTTGCAAGTAAAAATTATTGCTAAATTCTAACCCTATTCGTAATAAGAATTTAATTGCTTATCAACAGATTATTTATAGTTTTATCAAGGTATGCTTCACTTTACTTCATGGCATGTTCGATGAATGAATACGAGCATGTCAGATTCCTGGCACAATTATTGGTGGACTTCCCCTACGGGTCTGTCTGTAGTGTTCATGTCATGTCATAGTACAATCAAAGTGCTGAAGGCACTGCAGTTGGGACGTATGAAGGGTCAAATAACTATTTTTTCTATTTCGGGGCAGATAATTCAATGAGTGAAGGGTGTTGCCGGTTGATAAATATAAAGTGCACAATTCAGTAAATGAACAGTAGTTGATACAATTATTCTATGACACACATGTTCAAATATAATATTTAGGTTACATGTACGTGTAGGTCGATCATAAACCGTTATTGGCCTTTTTTGACAAGAGAAACAAGTGAAATTAGAGCTACCAGAGGAAACTGCAAGCTTGACTATTTTAACACATGACATTATAAAGGGAGACAAAGCTATGAAAAAATAATCAATTGTGATATATATCAAATTTTCTGTATCAGTATCAAGTAAACACTCAAATGGTCAATATTTTTTGCATCACATTATATGAATGTGACCATGTCATTAGAACTTATAATGGCCTTTGTTTACTGCAATTCTCATGCTAATCTCTTTCACTGTATAACGTTTATAAAGTTTCAATCAAATTCCTTCAATATTTTAATCCTCTCTCAGAACAGTATCATGAAATATATACGGAGATAATTCAAAAACTAAGTAATGTAGAATTTTGGTTATTTGACACAAGACTTCTGCTCACTAGTCTCTACAACTGTATTTAGTTTGAGTGTGATATCATTGAAAAGATTTACTCCAGACAACCATTATTTTAAAAGTTGTTGTACATGTATTTTAAGAGATGATAATTGTAAAATTAAGCTAGAAACTAGAACTCCGCGAGTCGGATGTGTCGCCTTGTGAACAATGTAGTTTAGGAGAAATGGCCAGGACAAAAATGAAATATGAAAAATAACAAAGGGCAATAACTAAAAAAATAATAAGTTCAGAGCAGCAGTTTCTGAACACTGCACTTCTTATCAATAAGATCTATCATACTATGATGGTTCAAGTCCATAGCTTTCATACTTGAGGAGAAATGACCAGGACAAAAATAAAGAAAGAAAATCAACAAAGGGCAATAACTCAAACAAGAGGGCCATGATGGCCCTGAAGTCGCTCACCTATATATAGGCCCCTGGAGCGGGGCCAGTTTAAACCCCAGGGCTTTTATTTGAACAAATATGGTAGACACCCATTAGAAGATGTTTCATGCTAAACATCTAAGATGTAGCTCGTTGGGTTTTTTAAAAAAAGATTTTTCAAGTTTTTTCTTTACACATATAGTTAAAAACAATGACAACCCTGGAGCAGGGCCAGTTTTGACCCCAGGGCTTTTATTTGAACAAACTTTGTAGACACTCACTAGAAAATGTTTCATGCTTAATATCTAAACTCTAGCTATTTTGGTTTTTCAAAGAAGATTTTTAAGTTTTTGCTATTCACGTATAAGGAAAATTAATGTCCCCTGGACGGGCCAATTTTGACCTCAGGGCTTTATTTGAACAAACTTGGTAGACATTCACTAGAAGATGCTTCGTGATTTATATCTTAGCTCTAGCTATTTGAGTTTTTTCAAAGAAGAATTTTTAAGTTTTTGTTATACACATATATGGAAAATGAATGACCCCCGGGGCGGGGCCAATTTTGACCCCAGGGCTTTTATTTGAACAAACTTGGTAGACACTCACTAGAAGATGTGTCATGCATAGTATCTAAACTCTAGCTATTTGGTTTTTTTTTTTCAAAAAAGTTTTTCAAGTTTTTGCTATACACATATAAGGAAAATCAATGACCCCCTGGGGCGGGGCCAATTTTGACCCCAGGGCTTTTATTTGAACAAACTTTGTAGACAACCATTAGAACATGTTTCATGCTAAATATCTTAGCTCTAGCTCTTTCGGTTCTTTAAAAGAAGATTTTTTAAGTTTTTACTATATGCATATAGGGAAAATCAATGACCCCCTGGTGCGGGGCCAATTTTGACCCCAGGGCTTTTACTTGAACAAACTTGGTAGACACCCATTAGAAGATGTTTCATGCTAAATATTTTAGCTCTAGCTCTTTCGGTTCTGTAAAAGAAGATTTTTTAAGTTTTTACTATATGCATATAGAGAAAATCAATGACCCCCTGGGGTGGGGCCAATTTTGACCCCAGGGCTTTTATTTGAACAAACTTGGTAG